TTGTTCAATAGCAGGAATCTCCGTTGCTTGACGCCAAATTATGGTAATCAGAATAGTATTGAATATTGGAATACGAGAACCCATACTGTACTGTTCAGAACTGAATTGGCTCGAACCCGAACTGCGGACACTTTTGAAATACACGAAGGATTGGTAGCGGCAAATACTTATGTTTATTGACAGAATTAGAGAATGATTTATGGATAGTAATAGGCCATATCACTGGTTGAAGCACCGTCGTCCAGTCGCGTGACCGTTTGCGCAGACGCATCTGTTTTTGATCGTGTAACGATTACGCACTCACCGCGGTGCAGCTTCCAGGTAACCAATGAAGAAATGGAATAACCGACCGATCAGGTGGTTTCAGTTGGCACCAACCGGATTGGCTGAATGCAAGGCAAACAAATAAACCATATCGTTATCGATTGGGCGTTCAAGAATCGACCAATGATTGTTGGTTGTTTGTGATATATATTTGCAGGATTTCCTGAACAGGATTAACTGTATCCACAGCTCGTCTTGGTTCTACCTGACTTTTCGCTATTCAGTGGGTTTTCATTCCGATTCTGAGTTCGCGGCATTCGATTTTGATTCCTATTCGAATACTACAGCAATAAATGTGCTAGCTCTGATGTGATGTTCGCCCGGTGTATCATTGGTCGAGCTTCTTGAACTGTGATTGAATGACGTGAAGCTGTACCTGGTCGTATTTGGAATGCAGTCACGTATGTCTGGATCATCACATCAACTTTCCTTTTGATTCCTTATTTACAGGTGATGTTTGTTTGAAGCATTCTGTTACCTTTTTTTAGTTTGTGGAACTCTGAGCTGTTGGACGAACTCTGCGGGCAATTTCGAAGATCCTCTTCTTTTTGAAAGCAAAACTGATCGGGCCTTCTGCATCCACTGTCAACATGCGGACACATTCCCATTATCGATTTGTTGTGGGACGTCAGTGACTTAGGAGCAAAGCAACCTGGAAAACTAGTAGCTTGAGGTGTTAGACCTGTGCCCTAACCTAATTAAAAAATACCCATTTTTTATCTCGATGTTTTTAAACCGTTTATCGCGTCTCAGAACTGTCAGGTTACACAGAAGGTGGTTTACATTCCTCAAAGCAAGGAACTCCATTCACCACAGCTATAACACGGACAAAATCGTTCACATTAGGTCAATGATACGCGATAGTTTAACTTGAGTGAAAGGTGAAACACAGCTGTCCCAAATAAACTTTTACTTCAAACAGGTGAACCGGTTAGTCAGTCTTATTATCAATGACTAAACCAGGGTATTTTCGAGGAAGCATAGCAGAATAACGGGCCAAGCTGAAAGGAAAAACTCCACAGTTTGAACAGTAAAAAGCTAGTTTCGTGCCCACCTTCCGTGGAATCATCGGATCGAGGAACGTGTGGCATGACAGACGGTCGGTCAGTGATACAGGTGTTTGGTTATAATCGCTAAGCCTGTTCATAAATCGATCTCTGAATTGGTACATACTTGGTTACAAACTGATGGATATTTTCTAAATATGTTACTGTTCCGGGAGTATCTGCTTTCATTGTTCATTCCCACACGCCGGTTTCGTTCATTCGCCTCCTGTCCTGCTGATGCTCTCCTAAATGGGGTCCAGCTGACCACCTACTGCTATAGTTATCGATACTCCATTCATTTGGCCCCGAATATGAATAGTTTAGACCCAGTGTCCTCCAACATGCATTTTATTGGCAAGATTTTAATAGGTCCTTTTAATATACGACCTTGTTAATCATGATTTTTTAACATCAATAAACGAAATTCCTTTGGACTCGCTTCTATAATAATCATGTGAATGATGTGCGTGTGTGCATATGGCGAAAAATCGTTGATCGTTCGATTTCTCTCACCCTTGTATTCACAACCTGTTATTTATAGAACCGAATCCTTTAGTGATCCTCTCAAGAATTGAGACGTTGCACGATTCTCCTGCTATAGATTTCAAACTTGAACTGAATTATTATTATTAATAGACAGAAATCGGTGATCAAAATCGCACTACGAATTGTGTGCTAAAATCCCCCGCCACCGAGATACAGGAAGAAAGCCACAGAAGTGATTATTGTGTTATTGATCAGAGAGCACCCAGGGCACAGTGTTGCTATATCTGTTCGGGTACAAGAAATCAGGTTAATTGCAAAAGGACTCCGCCACCCTTAATTGCAAAACGTGTGTCCAGAATGACCTCAGTCAAGTGCCTGCGTGTCACCATCGACAGTATTCTCCGGTGGTCCACAGATTTGCAATTGCATGGGAAAACTGAGACGCCTCTCTTTTCGGTTACACATATTCAAGCAATTCTGAACATCACACTTAGTGCTGTCCTCTTTTATTCATTAATGAGTTTTTCTCATTCTACCCGATTGCTTTCCTGTAGTATTATACCCCTTGGCAAACAAGCCAGTATTATTTTACCGTGAGTGTTTGTATTTCACCGGATCTTTTTGGTTTATGGCATTTGATTTGATTTGCCTTGCAGGTTTAACCCTATACCCGACCCACGGAGGACCTGTTTGCCAGTGTTTCCTCACCACCCCGTGTCCCGGTAGTATTGTCTCCTGCTATGCCTCATATCGTTTCGAGCTGTGAGAATACGAGCGAGGGACATTTTGTCGCGCATCTCTGTTCACTCCGTTGCGCTGCTACAGCCCGAGGAACGTTCGCATTAGTGTTTCTAGGACTTTTGAAACAAGACTTCAAAACCGTTTCTCGTGGTTCGGTGATAATCGATCGTGCATTATCAATCCCAGCCGATTCAATAATCGCAGAACTCATCAGTGGCTACATCACCTGTTGTGTGAAGTTTGATGATACGATTCTAGATGACCTTCTCCATCCACTGCATCCAGATCAATCATATTGTCGTTCCCAACCGTCCACACACTCCTCTTGTTGGCATATACCTTCTCGTATTAACGTTGGTCTGAGCTGAAGATATATCTCGTTGCTCCTTGGCTAGCACTACCACTACCGTAACATGGATGTATTTGTGTTGACGCAGAACGAATTCTTAGCGGTTGCTCACTACAGCCTTCGCATGTAGCAATAACCGGGAACTTTTGACAACATAGGCAATTTGGAACGACTTATCGCGATCGATGTGATGATAAGTCCCTAATTTGGGCTTCGCGATTAATAATGGGGGAGCTATCGTGTATTCAGCTGTTACTGTAGGGTATTCATTCTGCTGATCTCAAGTCGGAATGTTTGTTGCCTCGCGCACGTAACCGTCTCTCTGTTCCGCCCATGTAAGTCTATCTGCACCCAAATTCACTTTGATAGGTTTAGTCAGGAAGCGGCGACAGGTTTTGACTGTTAGTGCTCATATCCGAATTGTGTTGTAATGCAACACTGGGGACGTTGGGGGAAACGAAATTAAAATGGTTACTTAAGATTCG